TGCATCTTTCATTGAAGAGGCAGAAATTAACAGATGTGGAACTTAGTGATTCCACTTTCTTACATAATTGTTGACCCTGCACACAGCGTGTAATACCTATGTGTTTGGCTTACACCGTGTAACAAGCTTATAAAATTGGAAAATCATTTTTGGAAAAGACGATGGAGAAATACAAGTTTTTATTCTGTAAATTGCTCAGAGTAATCAGCGAGAAAAGATACTTGGCTGCCTTTTCTGTTCCTCTGCTTCAGCAGCCCTGTTTCCTTAAGCAGATGAAAAACTTCAGGGTTTATYTTCTTCTCCCCCAAACACAAAACCACTCAAGCTGCCAGGAGGTCYCAGGCTAATGAGAGTGGAATGATTTGGCAACACAAAGAGAAATGCTGGTGAAGCACCCATCAAAACTACATCCATAGCCCTGTGTCCTCGGAGTGAAAAATATTACATCTCCACGTCTATCCCAGTCTAACATGGGTTGTTACAACAGACCCACCTATTTTCCTTTTTTCTCTGGACAAAAGGAAAATATGAAGTTAATAAAAAATTAGTAGGTCTCTGGATTTCATTATCTCTGATTATCTTCTGGATTATGTTGGTTATCTATTTGCTGCATAGTGGGTGCCACAATTTGAACTTCATTAGAAACGGTAATGTTCCTCCTGTCTGATGCAAAGAGTGAAAGAATCCTAAGAATGGGTTGTTTAATTCCCAAGCAGCCATCTACACTGAAAAGAGCCATGTTTGAGCACACTCCCAATGCTCATCCAAGACTTCCCTGTCTTACTCCTTCCCTAAACTGCTGCTTGCAAGAGATGCTTCTGTCCAGAGACWGAGAGGGAAAAAAAGATTGTTAAATACTCAAAGTCATGCTCAGCTTGTGCTTCTAGACCAGTATTCATCACAAACTGTCATGTGCTCTGTAGCACTAATTAATGTGACTAACACATCACATGCTTCTTTCCCTACCCTGGCTTTGGGGGGAAAAGCCTGTGTGTGGACATTCTGTATTAATTCTGTTTTTTCTGTTTTTCCTTTAATAATGCATGCATGGGTCAACACATTTTGCTAGAAGGGGCCAGGCCAGAGCCAAGTACTTTATGCTAGAAGGCACTTTTGGGTCAGTTCTTGAGAAAACTCTGTTGCAAGAACCTCCATCTGGTTAAACATTTAAAAATTCACCCCCATACCAAGTTTTATAATATGAAAAAAAAGAGAGAGGAAATTTCTACTCCCACTAGCTTATGTTTTCTCTTTTTGCTCTTCGCTGCAACAGGGCTTCTGGTAGAGACTTGTCTGAACTCCTGAGCTCTTTGGAAAACATGGGGTTGGAAAAAATAGCCCAAGGAAAAGGACTATCTACAACTGCCTCTCCTCCCCCCTCATCTTCTGTATGTACCTACCCTCAAGGTTCAATGGTCTCGATAAGGAAAATGAAACACCTTAGGTAATGATAAAACATCCAGTGCAAGACAAGCGTGGAGTATTTACGCACTGGCAGTGCAGCAGTAGAGCAGACGTCTGCCAAAGAGGGATCAGTGCCTTCCTTACACCCCCAGGATTCATTGTCTCTTAGCCTGGGAACCTGTCTCYGTTCCCAAACAGGGATATTTTTTTTGGCAGCAAGACGGAACAAAAGGCACAAAGAGAACTAAGAAAACCCTTTCAGTGAAGCCGTAGTCTTTTCTTTTTCCTGTTCCCCTGAGGACGGGAAACCTTCTGAGGACAGCTCATAATACACCCAATCCTGCTACCTGCCGGGAAGGTGCTCAGTGCTCACAGGGATCTACGGGAATTGGGGTGCATGCAGATTCCAGCCCAGCTTTTGGYCTTGACAAATTAATCCCCTACCTTTAGCACCAAAAATACCACAACATTTTGAAAATGAAATCACTGTTATATTTGAGTGGGTGTGTTATTTCGAGACAGCACTAATGTGATTATAAAATCAGTTGTGTCAGCTTATTGGCTCAGCTACAGACACTGATCTGCTCGAGCGTCTGTTCCTCTACCCGGCTGTTCACGTAAGGGTGCTTTGTCCCTTCTCAGCTCCCTGTGGAAATAGAAACCGTTTGATTCCCACTGTTGCACCAAAGAGAAAGAAACCCCTTCTTCTGGCTGTTGTCCACTTCATCTCTGTGAAACTTGGCATTTCMAGAGCACCTCTTGTGCCAAACATGAGCACAGCATCCCCCAGGCTGTGAAAGGCTGCAGCCCATACATATATATAGGTAGATATATAATATATATATTAATGTCCCTGCAKCCCTAGCCCTTCACAGGCTGGGCATGCTGCTCCCAAGTTGCAGCAGCAAAGGGAAAAGGTAAAGTGGCAGCAGGGTCCAAATTTCCCAGCCTCACTCTTCAGACATTTSACTTGAGCTGCCTCTAAACGTTTCCTCTCACCTATTACCGAATCCTGGTAGCAAGTGTTTGTTTTTCCCTGCTGCTCTGTGGGTGTCTGACAGACTCGGTGGCTTGTGCTGCCAGGCATGGTTTAATGCTGTCAATGGCAGGTGACTCACTGGTATCAGAGGTGTCAGTCCTGGCAGGTTTGAGTCAGCCCTTCATCTTTTGGCAACAAATAGAAATAAAATACAGTTTCCATTGTATAAGGCAGCTTTTCAGGCACAGCCATACCATATATCTCTGCATGCCTTATGTGTAGAACACCCCTAAAGATTCTGTACTTTGCGTGCTCCACTGGTGTCCTGGTTTTTTCACATTTCTATGCAGTGGATCATTCTGCTGCCCCAGCACAACACAAAGAAAGTTGGGGTTCATTGCAACCACCATAATCCCAAGGCCAGGTAAATGCCATGTTCCCCTTACTGAAGATGGTGACTCTGAAATCTGTCCATTAAAAATCTGACGAAGCTTTGCTGCTCATATGGCAAAAATATTTCCATTACTAGTGAAAAGAAAAGGCATCTGARTAAGATATTACCTACCCATCTTTCCCTCAAAGAATGCAATGCCCTCAGGCCAAATTCCAAACTTTCCGTATGTAAACTGCATCCAGCTGTCTGTGCTGAACAGAGTATGTAAACATGAGGTTTGAATCCACACGAGCTGTGTTTGACCACAGYGCTGAATTTACAAGGCACAGAAACTTGTCAGGCACTTTATGCAATGGTCAAGATGTTTGTTATGGAGATGAGTATCTCCTGATTTCAGCAGAGTAAGAGCATGTAATTTCTCATCATTATATTATTTGGCTCAATACTGTTGTAACTTCCTCACAAACCCAACCTCAATATCAATTAAAAATGTGGACATCTTCAGCCTAAAACCCCAAACTATGTATCCCAATGCTTTTAATATTAGCTTTGCCAATAAATAGGGCAATTAAAGTGGTAGTGGTGGTGAAAACAAGCGTGCTCACCCTGTCTTAGCATGTTTAGAAGAGTCTGAGCTCTGCTGTAGATCCTGGGGCACAGCCCATGACTGGACACAGAAAATCAAAAGTGAGATTCTTTTTCTTTGCTGTCCTGAACACTTTGTTTTCTCTCGACAGCTGAGAGAATTCATGCTACTTTCAAAGTTTAAGAGGTTTTGTCTTTTTAGTCTCTCTTCATAATCAGAATTATAATTGCTATTTTTTAAAATGGACAAATATTTTAAAAAACCGAAACTCATGAACTGCCTGGATTCATGAATCACTCAGATTATGTTTTAAGTCTTTTCTGATCTTCTAAATCTCGTGTCCAGCCAAACAAGAGGTTAATGCTCTCTCTTTAAACAGACACGAAGACTGTTCAGTGCCAAATCTCAGCTACGGTTTACACCAAATATTCACCCAGTGGCTGCCTTCCTGCTTATTCCCAAGGGGTTTCAGTCAGGAGCACAGCTTTGTATTTGTGACAACTGGTTGGATTTATGGGATGGAGGCAAAGGAACTGAGTCCTGACATTGAATACAGTGCACACACRCTGTGATTCTGTGTGGTCAGTGCAGATGCAGAGATAACTGAGCCAGCCTGCACAGATCACTTAGGTTGRGAAAAACCTTTAAGATCATCAAGTTCAACCACAAACCTGCTCATTACTTTAATTTAAACAGACATTGTAAGAAGAAATCCTTAAGACACATTTAAGCACATTAAAACCATTTTCTCCATGCACACGCATCAGACTCTAACCCATTCTACCTAAGCCTGTGATGCCAACAGAAAGATCCACAGAYCTTCTGGGTGCTCTCAATTGGCTGAGAGACATCTCTGTCCCACTGAGCTCATTGTTCAGGCTGTCTTGTAGTCAGTAGAGAAAAACAGGTACTCCTAGGGCACAATTAATTTTATCCCAACTTTTTTGCCTCCCTAYTGACTGTCATGGAGTCCAGACAAATGTGTCAGATGGCGACATCCAAAGGTACATGAGAAGAGACCCACACCAGTATTTAGGAGGATGCACACAGCCCTTCCCTCCCTGCTTCCAGGCTGAGGCAGGCACCAGCAAGCAAATTAGTAGCTACCAAAACAGGAGCAAGCAGAAATTCATTGTGGATCCCTTCAGGACACATTCCTGGATGTCACTGTGGTGCCTGGGCCGTGTTAATGTCAGACTTGGCCCTTGATCATGGCAATTTTACCATGGCTGTGCTGAGAGCCCTCCACAAGCCCCAAGCTTGTGCTGCTGCCAGCCTGGGCAGGTGGGGATGATCCCCAGGCATGATCCTGAATGCACCTACCATCCCCCCAAAAAAACTAATCTGGCAGCAACAACCCCCAAACCACACCTTTACTCCAAACCTCCACACTGGAAAGCGGTGGGAAGAGAAACTTCAATATGATTGTCATGGTAAATGAAGAGAACAGAAAAAAAGAAAAATCAAGACAGATTTTGGCAGTTTTCCATGTCAGTTTTCCCATTTCCCTCCCTCATGCACTTTCTACAGGAGCAATCTGTCCTTTCCCTAAACGCTGAGCAATCCCAGCACTAAACTAATCAATATTAATAGCGATGGGTTCGGGAGGGGGAGGAGGGGAGAGGAGAGGAGGGATTACCCTGACCTTTTTCAACTCACACTGCCTCAGACGGCCACCAAGCAGCTGAGGAGAGAGCAGCCAGACGGTAATGCCATGTGGTTTTAGTAGCTTTTCATTTTTTTTTGTAAAATTTTTTTCCTTGTGAATATTTACTCTGTTGTCTCAGTGCAGATAGCAATGAAATCTGATTTTCTGCAGGAAGGAAAAAATATAATTATATCAGCCATCTCCGGGCCAAACCTTGCCTTGATGGGAAACTCCACTGAAATAAGGGGAAAAACGCCCAGGCTGGATTTTAACTTGAATTTCTTATTAAAAAGAGGAATTGGATTAGGGAAGTTTTGACAGGTGAAATGCTGGTATGCTTTGTGGATTTCTCTTTATTATAATAGAGTATAATCAAAGCCATTGAGCTGTGACTGGGATATGGAGCAAGAGCAAACAAAGGGCTGGGGAACCGGTCCTCTATTGTTASGCTGAAGTGTCCACAGCAGCTCAGGGGATGGATGTGTTCAGTAYAGGGGGCTCAGGATGAAAGGCAAATCCTATTAATTAAAAGAAAATCATAATTGAAGCTCTTTGTTCCTACTGGATTTGGGGTTTATTGTAGATTTTCTGGTTAGCAGCATTTCGTAAAATACAGGTTTACGTCAGGGGGCACCGTGGATTAATTAATCATTTGTCTCTTTATTACTGATTCTTGCTGCCATGTACAAAAATATGGTTTTTAGAAATTTCATCTGAGAAATCTAGAGAAAATTCTATTTATGCCTTTCCTCTTTTGCTCTGCGAGAGCCAAGCCTCAGGGAAAGGTCCCAGATTGAGTGTTAGGTTTGTGGGGGGTTTTGAATAAACATTTTTATGGTATTTTCATTTTTTTTTTCTCGAGGAAAAAATTCTTTGCAGATGGCTGATATCACAGCACTAGCTAATGAAGCCATGGGTGTGTTTTCCCTTTCTTTGTCAGGACCCATCATGTCCGACAAACCAGATTTTGCAGAAATTGAAACATTTGACAAGACCAAGCTGAAGAAGACAGAAACCAGAGAGAAAAATCCACTACCCACTAAAGAAAGTAAGTGCTTATGAGGCTATTTCAAGTGTGAGTAGCAAGGACATAATCTGTGTTGCAGTTCATATGCAAAATGAATACTAATCATAGGATTACAGGCTCAAACTCATCCCTGACTTTAAGTGGGGATAATACTRAGASTCTATGCTGGGCTTCCAAGGATAYGAGTAATTATAACCAACGGTGCATTTTGTCTGAAAAACCCTTTCTGATGGGATTGCTCTTGCTTCTGCTAAAAGCAAGAGCAGTGTTCCCCACTGGGTGCTGGTAACAGGATCAGTCTCTTTGTAATTAYCTTGTTACCGGCCCCTCTGGAGGCACAGGGGAACCTTTGCCCATCCCTGGCAGGCCAGGCAGCATCCCCTGAGGGTGCCTGGGCTCTGGATTTARTGTTATCAGGCAGATGAGCTGCTGCCTCCCACTGGTACCTGCTGTCAGCCCTGGGCAGRAGACCTCCAGGCACCTTCTCTGGGAATAAGGCTGAAAGCAAAACCCATCATCATCCTCATCTAACAGGAAATCTCCCTCAGAAAAGCACCCCCGAGCTTTTCTCATGCAGGGTCTTACACAATGTGCACAGGCAGCCAGATAAGCCTGGGATTCATGTTCTGCTTCAGATATGAAAAGAGCATTTGGACCAGATTTTGTGAGCAGTTTCCTTCAGAAGAATATTGCTAATCCCTTTGGGTGTGCWTGCTGATAGCCATGGAGACGCGCAGTCCCTCAACATAAAAGACCTGGTTTTTTCCCCTGTTTTATCATCCTAATTAATGTACATTAATTTACAGTGCTGGAACTGTAAATACAAGAGGAGCTTTGCACATCATGAACTGCCCCCTTCTAACTATGCAGATGTGGGAATGAGTTRTCATTTCCAGGGTGGCCAAAAAAACCAAGCAAGGATTTAACCATTCCCTGGCTTTCAGAATGGCTGTAGAAATCTGTATCCTGCAGAACCTTTATCATAGAATCACAGAATGGTTTGGGTTAGWAAGGACTTTAAGGGTCATCAYGTTTCAACCCCATCCCATGGGCAGGKACACTTTCCACTATCCCAGGTTGCTCCAAGCCMTRTCTAACCTGGCCTTGGACACYTCCAGGGATGGGGCAGCCACRGCTTCTCTGGGAAACCTGTGCCAGRGCCTCAGCATCCTCACATGGAAGAATTTCTTTCTCAYWTCTAATCTAACCCTGCCCTCTGCCATTGTGAAGCCATGCCCCCTTGTCCTGTCACTCCAAACCCTTGACCAAAGTTCCCCTCCTGGTCTTTTGTAGCTCCTTTAGGCACTAAAAGGGGTTCTAAGATCTCCACAGAGAGCCTTCTCTTCTCCAGGCTGAACAGCCCCAAAACTCTCTCAGTCTGTCTCCATAGGAAGGCAAAGTTTATTGTTCATAAACAGTRATGTTTATTGATGGTGTTTTTGTTTCCTCTGTTTTCCTGCCAGCKATCGAACAGGAAAAGCAAAGTGAAAGTACAGCCTGACTACAAAATTGAAGATGTGACATGCTGCTTCTTCAGTGGGGTTTTGGCTTCTGAGTTGGGTTGTTGTTTTATTTTGTCCCTCCCATCCCACATTTGTTGTCCATTTATTTTAGGAAACGTTTGTTCATTTAATGTTCCCTGGARAGGTTTGTTTTGTGTTTGCTGAAGAAGATACTTGTATTTGTATTCTTAAAATTGTAATTCCAAGTTCTGTATCAACCCCATTACTTGCCAAAAAAAAAAAAAAAGCAATTTGCATAGAAATTGTTTTCCAAAACCTCACAATAAACAGGTTTCTTCTGATCAACTGTCTTTGAGCCTTGCAGAAATGGGGTTTACACTGCAGTTGTTACTAACATCCTTCCYACTCTTTTTGTATCTCTGCAGCAACTCAGGAGTTTGGTCAGGTTGGGAAGGGATGCCCCAGGCACCCACAGGTCTCCTGGCTGGCACACAGCCCCTCTCCATCATCTGTGTCCTGCAGAATCCCAGAGCCCCAGATGACACCAAGCCACAGGAACCCCCTGACTGCCTCCACAGCAGCCTTGGGGACTTCACTCCCATCCCCTGAATCACTCAAAAGGGTGTTTTATGGAAACCCTGAGGGACAAACTGTGTGTGCCAGGAGCTCCTGCCCTTTTAAACCCCCAGCCTGGCAGCAGGCATGAATAAGATGGGAAGTCACTGGCCTGCTTCAGTCCTGTCCAAAAGCAGGTTAGAGGTTCTAGAGATAAATACCTACTCACAAATTCCATGACAAATTTATGGTTGGGCTGAAGAAATGCTCAGATTAGAATCCCAGATGAAAAAAAAAAGGGCTGCAGCACCCTGTCCACAGCCTTTTAATGTCTCAGCCTTGGGACAACAGTGGCAAACGGCCTTTGGCCCATCCCATACCAAGAAATACAAGAAGAAGGGAAGGTGGAGGAAGGAAAGAAAATTTAGTACTGCACTGATTTTTGGGGATGAGAGGAAGACTTTAACAGGACAGGGGTGTAAGACAAACCTTCAAAGCAAGCAAGAACTCGCTAAAACTTCATTATTGGTGGTGCATCCTCACTGGTCTGGCAAAAACAGACTGGTACCAGTGCAGGGGACTGTCAATGACATGGGATCACATTATCTCTGGAATTTTCAATCATAGAAATATTAGAATAATTTTCAATCATATTAGAAAAACAAGGGCTTACTCTGGGCAGATAAGCTGCTGTCCCTGAAGCTCCAGTTTGATCTTACTTGTGCTGTGAAATGAGAGGAGCTCTGTGCTCTTCAGCAGGGTTAGTCTGGGCTTGTACCTGCACAAGGTGAGGCAGAAAGCAGCCTCCAGGCTCCAGAAAGCAGCAGGGAATGGTTGGGGTGGTGCTCTAAAAGCTCTTGTTTACTTAAGGACTGTTTGACCACTTGACATTGAATGTGAAWAGTCAGAACTGCAAATAAAAGTAGCAGTGGAGCCACAAATGTGTGACCTTTGGTGGCAACAGAAAGCAAACCAGAGGTGACCAGGAGAGCAAAGGAAACACAGGGCATGAGCACCAGTGATTTCAGTCAGAGCTTTGTTCATATCGGTGCTGAAAAGGGCTGAGCTGTGGTTTCAATCCACACTCATCAGTTCAACACTGCTGATGTTTTCTTTTCGTGACCAAGGCTTTTTTCTTTCACATTCTCATTTGAGGACCCCTTGGCACCTGACTCAAAGGGCTGTTTATTTTAAGGTCAGCTGGATTTATTAATACTCATTTTTATATAAAAGGTGAAGAATGTGAGAGGTTGAGCAACAAGGAAAACAGCACTATTTTCTTTGTCAGTCATGCYCTCCCCTCACCCCTCCACACTTTGGGGTCAAGAGGCCTCTGACATTATTTAAATATTTGCTTTGATGATGGCTCCTTCATTGAGGAAGCATTTAGAACAACACCACCTATGTTAATCTGTATAGCTCCTACTGTTCAGCCAGGTTCATTGAACAYATTACTTTCCCCTGGATGATTTTTAAACTCTGCATTGCACTCAGCAGTAAGGCCATAGATTAGATTTTTTTTCCTTGGTTTTTTTTCCCTCTTTCTCTGCCAGTTCAGAACATCGGCCAACTCACTCAGCAAATACATTGTAAATCACCAAAAACTTCTTTGGCGTCACTGAAACAGTGGCTGGTGTCCGTGCCCCCAAGTTCTTCCAAAAATCAAAGGTCTGGACAGTGTCCTCAGCCTGCACTTTTTGGGCAGAAGGGAAAGGAGGTCTGGCCAAAGCAAGAAAACAACAGAGGTATTCTCCTCTGGTGTTTGCAGAGATACAAAGGATTGGCAGCACAGCTCAGGTTTGCCCAAGCCCTTGGCTCAGGTCTGCTCTTGGTGCTGCTGCAGGGCTCAGTCTCCCCCCATGAAGCCTCCTCCCAGCTGAGCTGTTTGCATTTAAAGCCTGACACCATAAACCTTTGTGCTTTTATCCACACATCTCACCCCACCAAACAGGCTGAGAAGAACTTTAGTCACGTTCCCCACCCCTGGATCTGACTACAAAGGCTACAAACACCTGCACACCTGGAAAAACTCCTCAAGGTTAAAGGGCAGATCTTCCCACCTTTCCCCTCCCTGCCCGAGGTGGAGCATGGCTTTATGGCAGGGCTTGGAGACTGCCTCTTTCACAATTAGCAGTTATGAGAGGCTCAAGGTAAAAAACACCTAGCTGCAGTACTCTGATTTGAGAAACATCCCTCTCTGCTGCTGTGTGAGACCATTTCAACCCACRAAATGGATCAGGAGATTAAAGTTTGCCAAAAGCAGGGACAGGTTTGGCTCCCTGCTATCTTAACCAAGGAGCATTACAGCTCTTATCTGTGGGGCAAGCTGGGGACACCAACCAGGAAACTGCTCATTACTGCAGGTTCAGACAATGAATTTTCATCCTTCCAGGCATTACATAAGGAAATATTCGTTGCTGCTATTGAGAGGGAGCTGTGAGCAGAGCCAACCCAACCTAAACCAAAGCAAACACTTACCCACACCTGGMAACACCTTCTGGGCATTAACCTGACCTTCACTCCCTGGAAGAGCATCCTCCAGCCCCAAGGCTCACCAAGAGCCACCCATTCCAGGAGCTGAGGCCCTTTCCCAGCCTCCATGATGATGGGCAGGTGAGCTGGAGAAAAGCTCATCAGTAAACAGAACCAGCTCCAGGGGGGAAAATTAAATATTTCTGCCAATTAGCAGCAGCCCCTTGCTGTTATGTAAAGGTACACAAACAAGGTGTTACCTTGCAACTCCTCCGAAGGAAAAACGCCTTCTGTGCTAATGCAGTTACAGCCCAAAAAAATCATTATATGCAGATAAATATTATATGCAGATAAACACCCACTTTCTTGGCATTGCCATGAAGCCAGTTCTGCCCCCTGGATCCCAGGGACAGGGCCAGCCCTCTCGGGATCTTGGCCAGGTCCACCTGCCCCTGTGAGTCACCTCTAATTGCTGTGCACAGTCACAGCAAGCCCTGGCTGGGCAGAGGAGATCTGCATTCCTGTCGTTGT